AAACCATATGGCTAAAGACTGCAAGAGGCCAAAGAAAGCTGGGCCAAAGAAAGGGCAACCTAGTGCCCATGTTGCTGAACACGGCCCTGTGCCAGGTGAATTAACCGACTTTGATATGTCGGTTGTGGTGTTTGAAGCCAATTTGGTGGATAACCCAAGAGAGTGGTACGTTGATACTGGTGCCACTCGTCATGTGTGTTCCGACAAGGAGGTTTTCTCTAAATACACTCCTGCTACGGGTCGGAAACTACACATGGGAAACTCCTCCACGTCTGATGTGGCTGGAGTGGGCACTGTGGTGCTGAAGCTTACTTCTGGAAAGGAGTTGAAGCTGAAGGATGTTCTGCATGTCCCAGACATCCGCAAGAATTTGGTCTCGGGATCACTTCTTGTTGAGCATGGATTTAGGCTGGTATTTGAAGATAAGAAGTTTATTCTTAGCAAATATGGAAAATTCCTTGGTCGTGGTTATATCGACAAGGGATTGTTCAAAATGAATGTAATTGTTGTAAGCCGTGTAACCGTTGATAATAAAAAGCCTATTTCTGTTTATACCGTTGAGTATTCTGATATATGGCATATTAGATTGGGACATGTAAATCTAAATGTAATTAAACGGTTGATGAAATTAGAATTAATTCCTAATTCTAAAGTTGAGACAAATACAAAATATGAAATTTGTATTGAAGCAAAAATGGCTAAGTTACCTTTCTACTCGGTGGAAAGGAGTACTGAACCATTAGGATTGATCCATACTGATGTATGTGATATGAAAAGTGTGCAAACAAGAACCGGTAAGAAGTATTTTGTAACTTTTATTGACGATTGCACAAGGTTTTGCTACTTATATTTGTTAAGAAGCAAAGATGAGGATGTGGAAGCGTTTAAGATATATAAGACCGAAGTTGAAAATCAACTCGGAAAAAGGATTAAAATAATCCGAAGTGATAGGGCTGGGGAGTATGTATCTCCTTTTGAACAAATATGTTCTGAATATGGCATAATTCATCAAACGACGGCCCCTTATTCTCCACAGTCGAAAGGTGTTTGCTGAACGCAAAAACCGAACTTTAAAAGAAATAATGAATGCCATATTGATTAATTCAGGATTACCACAGAACATGTGGGGGGAAGCTGTTTTGTCAACAAATCATATCCTGAATAAAATACCACCTAAAGGGAAAGATGAGACTCCTTACGAAATGTGGAAAAATCGTAAGCCGTCTTATAAATACCTAAAAGTGTGGGGGTGTTTGGCTAAGGTTTCAGTACCTGAACCCAAACAAATGAGAATCAAACCAAAGACGGTCGATTGTGTATTTATCGGATATGCGTACAATAATACAGTGTATAGATTTCTGGTTCATAAATCAGAAAATACAGAGGTATCTGTTGGTACCACGATTGAGTCAAGGAATGCTATATTCTTTGAGAATGTTTTTCCTATGAAGGAAAAGGCAGAATCTAGTTCTAATAAACGAACGTATGAAACTGCTAGTGGTTCTGTACCAGAGGGTACTGATGAAGAACCGAGACGTAGTAAAAGGGTAAAAACGGCTAAAAGTTTGGACCTGATTTTATTACGTACATGTTGGACGATGAACCGAGTTCCCTTAAGGAAGCTCTGTCCAGCCCATATGGACCACTCTGGGAAGAAGCTGTAAATAGCGAAATCGAGTCCATTATGCAAAATCATACTTGGGAGTTGGTTGATCTCCCTGATGGTTGTAAACCTTTAGGATGCAAGTGGATCCTAAAGAAAAAAATATAAAGCTGATGGATCGATTGACAAGTTTAAAGCACGATTGGTGGTCAAAGGCTTTAAACAAAAGGAAGGGTATGATTTCTTTGATACCTATTCACCAGTTATGCGTTTAGCGTAGATAAGAGTGCTTCCCTCGATTGCTGCTTTGCACAATCTTGAGATTCACCAAATGGATGTCAAAACGGCATTTTTGAATGGTGAATTCGAAGAAGAAATATACATGGAACAACCTGAAGGGTTTGTTGCACCTGGACAAGAGAGAAAGGTGTGTAGATTGATCAAATCTTTGTACGGACTGAAACAAGCTCCGAAACAATGGCATTTGAAATTTGATGACGTAATGTTGTCAAATGAGTTCAAAATCAACGAATGTGACAAATGTGTTTATGTCAAGGGTACATCAAGTACATTTGTGATTGTATGTCTATATGTAGATGATATGTTGATCATGGGGAGTAACCATGAAGTGATCATGGATACGAAAAGAATGTTGAAAAGAAATTTTGACATGAAAGATATGGGTTTGGCTGATGTTATTCTTGGAATAAGGATTATCAAAATCCAAGATGGAATTGTCTTGTCACAATCTCATTATGTAGAGAAAGTGCTCAAGAAATTCGATACCTATGACGGTGCACAGTCTAGGTATATGTGTAAGACCCCCCTTGATCTCAGTATAAATCTGGTAGTCAATAAAGGTCAACCAGTGGCTCAATTGGAATATTCACGGATAATAGAGAGTCTGATGTACTTGACGAATTGTACACGACCAGACTTGGCCTATCCGGTGAATAAGTTGAGCAAATTTACGAGCAATCCCAGTCACGAGCACTGGAATGCTTTGAGAAGGGTACTTAAGTACTTGGGGTACACCCTTGAATACGGGCTAAAATACTCGAGATATCCAGCTGTACTTGAAGGGTACTGTGATTCATGCTGGATATCAGATTCGAGAGATTCTCGCTCCACTAGCGGATATGTTTTATGTATTGGAGGAGGTGCAGTTTCGTGGAAATCCACAAAACAAACGTGTATAGCTCGGTCAACGATGAAATCGGAGTTCATCGCTTTAGATAAAGCTGGTGAAGAAGTCGAGTGGCTTAGAAATTTTTTATCCGATATTCCATGTTGGGATAAGACTTTGCCGCCTGTGATGATTCACTGTGATAGCCAAGCTGCTATAGGTAGGGCGCAAAGCAACTTGTATAACGGTAAGTCTAGACATATTCGTCGTAGACATAATACCGTACGTCAATTGATCACAAATGGTGTTATTTCCATTGACTATGTGAAGTCTAAGGAAAATTTGGCTGATCCTTTGACGAAAGGATTGAATAGAGACCAATTGACAGTTTTGCTAGAGGGAATGGGCTTAAAAATCCACAATGTAAATAATGATCATAGTGGTAACCCTACCATGGTAAGTGGAGATCCCACAAACTTGATTCAAAGGGAAAACTAAGCTATGAAAATTCAGTTGAGCACTTGGAACATATGAATGTCCAAAGCTATTCCCTAGAGCAATCCAAGTGCAAGATAACCTGTTGATTGTGGTGAGAGTAAGTCATATGGACTTTTAATGAATCTCTAACCTTGTAAAGGTGGAGTATGGCAGGATACTCTTGATAGGGAGGTCACCTATATAAGTGTGAAGTGTGGGCCGCTTCAAATGTACACACTTATGAATCCATTGTGTTGTCCATGGCCAAAACGGACACAACGATAGAACAAAATGGAGTTAAGACTTTATTGTGTGAATGTCATTGTCTTGGTGTACACTATGGAGGAATAGTTCAAGGCATTATGTTCACTAGGCCGCCAGTACATCCGATGATGTTTACTAAGAGAGGTTCAAAGCCAAAAACTACATTTTCTGATGTGATAGAGTTTTGTGAAGATTGAGCACAAGAGTCAGTATATGTGTGTGTATTTTTTTTTTACTTTATCTTTTGTGGGGGATTGTTAGAAAAAGATAAAGAAAAAGATCACAAGATGCTTCCTCCCACTTCCCACATGCATCTTCCCACATGCATCCCACTTTCCCATATGCTTCTCCAGATTGCCCACATGCAATTGATCAATATTTTTTAATAAAGAAGGTGTTAAGAAGGTGGATCAATATTTTTTAATTACAATTTGATTGTCAATTGGCAAGCTTCTCAACCTATAAATACTCCTCTCGGGCAAGATGAAAGATGCACCGAAAATAGGGAAAAAAAAAGAAGAAGAGAAAAATAGAGGAAAGAAAGAGAAAGAAAAGAAAAGATAGATTTATGTCCAAATATCGGATATAAAAATATCAAAAGAGAGAAACAAGTGATATTTTTATTTGTTTTAAGATATTCCTTTTATTTTTAAGTGCTCAATTCTCGACTCCATTCTCGTTCGCCGGAGCTTGTAAATTTGGTGTGCTACAGATTTAGAGACGTTTGGCGTTGTATCTTTGGGGAAGTTACGTCTGAACCGTTAGCAGCCACACGGGGCGTATTCTTCTTGCGGAAAGAGTTTTTACTCGCCTCGGCTAAAATCTTTCCGTTTTTCAGTTGTATTTTATTTTTCAGTTCAATTGTAATTTTCTATTTTTAGATTATTTGTAAGAACTGAAAATACATATCAGTTCGTAGAAATCCCGTGTAATTTCACACCAAAATATCCAACAACCAGGCCCGATTCAAGTACGAAAATTCGAAAATAAATAATTTTCTTTTTAAAGTAGAAATTCTACTTTTTCTTTCACGATCATAATAAATTTCCAGAAATTAATTAAATCGAAGATTGAGATGAGTTCTGGAGTATCGACATTTCTTATAATATTGTAATTGCAGTGAAAGAAAGAGCTAAAAAGGTCTGAAAAATAAAATTATGGGGGTAGATTTGGTATTACACAAACCAGGATAGTCCCACCAAAAAAGTGAGATTGAATTGTCCCATTAAAGCAGGATAAGGAACATTTAATACCGGGCCGATGGGACTAAAGTGGGCTTCTATTTTTTAAAGCAAACGCGGGATTAACGTGGAATAAGGCAGGATATCCCACCTTATCTCTGAAAGCAAACACACACAAAATTCATCCATGGGCTTAAAGCCCAATAAATTGAACATGCTACGGGCCTCAACTTTCATCTTTAACACAGCAAAATTCAGCGCGGGAAAGCAAAAAAGTTCGCTCCCGGCACTGATCAATCGAAGACGAAAGAGTTTGTAGAGTGCAGACATCATTTTCAGATCAGAAGACATGGGCTGTTCATACCTCGAGGCATCCATGGCTGATTTGATGAAACTGATAAAAAGCTTCATTGATATGATGATTTTAGCCTCCGGCTATCAGTCTACCGGCCGACCCGCGCACTGGGACTCTCGCAACCTCAAGAAAAGCTTCCAGTGGGCGCTCTTTATCGAGAATGTAAGCGCGTTAATCGATCGTTTTCTTTTTCTTTAGGAAGTTATCTTGAATAATATGCTTCTATGAGGTCGGGATTGGGGTTTTGAATGAAGGATTAACCATGGCAATTTGAGTGAATCTATTTGGATATTATGTTTACGAGCAATGTTAGATCGATAAACATTTCATATGTTTTGGGGATTAGGTTTTGAAGGATCTGATGAGCGCGGCTGAGTATCGTGATTGTGTTGAGGAGCTTGATGCTGCTTTAACTGAATTGACTGTCAGCCCTTATTTCCCTCAGGTTAAGTCTTTTCTGTTTTAGCTCATTTTTTACTTTATCTTTCTTTTTTGTTGTTATGAATTTCATTTTTTGATGCTATTTAGTATCTTTTCTCGAGCAGGGCCTTGCTCCTCTGTCGTGTGTTACCCTTTGTCAAGCCAAGGATCTTCTGTTGAAGCGTTTAATTCATACCTTGCCCCTTAGAGAATCACATTTAAAAGCTATCACATTAGCATGTGTTGAAATGGACCTTAGCATTCTTAAGAGTATGGACAGTGACTTCCTTGACATCTATCTTGAAAAACTAATGAGAATCCCTTCAGAAGACGAGGATCCGAGCGAGAGTAGAAATTTCATGGAAGTCTCAAATGGGTCATCTCCAGATGCAGTTCAGACTGGGAAGGACGGCAATTTTGTGGGTGGTGATTTTAGTGTTTCAGCTGCTCAGCAGCTTGGGAGAAGGCAAGTGGCTGCATCATGCTTATCTACAGCAGAGGCTGGTTTGGAGTGCATTTGGAAAACTATAGAGGAATGCATGCACGGCGAGCTTGGAAATACACCCGGCTCAGAACCAGCGAGGCATCCAGAAAGTTTTATGTAATTGCTCGACTTTCTGAACTTCAAAGCTTGATTGATTAATTAGTTGTTTGATGTTCTTCAGAACATCTTCTGTTTATTTCAGGAAACGTGAAAGGAAAGAATATGTCCCAACAAGTACAACACATGATATCTAACACACACTCTTAACTATGTTGTGTACTTTGTGTATGTTTTCTTTTACTGAAATTTTCAGCCCATATCAAATTTCATAGGGCAACAGACTTTCCGTTGTTGTGCCTTCTATAATAGTTCAGTAGATTTACTATGCTCTGAGGAAATAAATATATTTGAATGTATTGTTTGCTTGGTGTTTGAAGTATTATTATTTTCAGGTCCTCTTTAATTCTCTGTTTATTCCAGTTTGCTAACCTTTGAAACAAACATTGTGATAAAACACACAACACGAAACTAAAGTTCCTCTAAGCTGGTGTCCTTGGTACTAGAATCGTTTTGCATTGAAAGATTATTCAGTTACTGATAGCATTGAAGAAGTTTGAGAGTGAAGAAATTAGCAAAGATAGTAGGATCTACTGTCTGCCCTCTTTATACAATATTTGGTGTGTATCAGCTAAGCAACTTTTTGTTAGAAGTTCACCATGAATAAACCATTTTTGTATTTTCTAATATTTAATAATTATTCGTTTTTATTGTCCTAAAGTGCAGGAGAAATGGCAGTTGAATCAATTGTCTGGAATTGTTGGAGATCAAGAAGCTTATCATATATGCTGGACAAGCGAACTGTAAGGCTGATATCTGGATCCAACTTAATGTTATCTGCCCCAGATGGTCAATGGACTCAATTGTTTGAAAGACTAGATGTTACAGCGGAGGCTGATAATTTATCAGAAACAATTGTAAGCTAGTTAGACTTCTTGACTAAACTTGAATTTCACTGAATATAGAGGAGGCTGATGCATGTCTACTGAAGTAGTTTCAACTAATGAATATAAGCTCGTGCATTTCACTTCTGTGCTGATGTTTATGAGTTCTGAGACTACATCTCAAACGCTTTAACATACAAAATCTAATTTGCTGCAGAAAGTGTTTTGTATTCGTGTTATTGCTAAATCTCGATCTCAAGCTTATTGGTCAATTTTCTTCTTCTTCTTCATGGAAGATAACCGTCGGATTGTTCTTGGCAATATATTGATGATAGTTTTTTGGCTTCATTGTAATACATAGTTATAATTGTTTTTCGCGGCAGGAATTCTTGTTACTAGGATGTGCTGCAGATAGATGGAGTGGCGCTATTGAATGTTTGATGTCAGCTTCATATGAGTCCCTTACTATCTCGAGGATCCATCAAGAAGTATTCAGCTCACCACTGGCAAATTCTCTAAATCTTTTCTCAAAAGAGAGCCTCACAAATCCTAAGGTACTTTTATAATTGCAGGCTTACTCTTTTTGAACACTAAAATCCTGTAGTGTCTGGATATGTATGGGTTGCACCTAGGAAGTAGATGAAATTATGCACTTGACTTTTGCTGTTTAATTTCATTGTTTTAGTCATGCTTTTTCTTTGTGGAAAATGGAAACATTGTTGTTTTGAGTTTACATGCTTAATCAGACAGCTGTAATTCTGTATATTGAGTAATGCTCACAGAAAGAAGTGAAATGGAAAAATGTCGAGCGGCAGAGAAGAAATAAAGAACACTGGGGAATGTTCTGTTATTAAGCTTCCCACTAAATCCCTTAGCGGACTCTGAAATCAATGTATCTTTGTTATAGCTGCATTCTGTATCCCACAGTTCAGCACCCCTCTGATTGGTTAAATAAGTAAAGTGTACTATCTCTTGGTGGTACTAAGAAACTAGATCGTCTTATGCATCTTAATTTTTTTTTTTTTTTTTTTAATCAATGTGACACATGTTTATGATTTACAAAAGGATATTGAAGGGCTTGAGGTTGGCATAACACAAACTTGTGCATGCTATTTACTGCTTTAGTATCTTCTTAAAGTGTGAGGATATATTAATCATCATGTTCCATTTCTTATCTTTGATTGTTAGATTGCTTATCTCCACAATAATTAAATGTTCTATTTAATCTATATAGTTGATCTCCACTAGGTAGATGTCCCCATTTTGTTTAGATATAACCACCAACGTTCACATATACCATAAAGTGGAAGTTGGAATTAGTTAGGATGCAAATTCTGGCTATTGCATCTCCTTGACCTTGAATAAGGGAAAACTGACAGTGCCCCCATAGGCCATAAAACAATTCCAGGAACTCATATAAAGCCAGATTATGTATTTCTCTCATATGAGCTACACTTGTAAATCAAGTATCTTGAATTAAAACCTGTTCATGTTGTTTACTCGGACGTCACACAATTTGCTTTTCGGCCAATCTATATTATTTCGACACCTTATACAACCAACAAAGCATTGTAGTAATATCTTAGATTCATGACTATTTGTATGAAACAGGAAAAAGGTGTTGTGAACTACCTGGAATTGTTACTCAGCAATCAGAGCAACCAACTGTGGAAACTATCTCCAGTCCTTGCAGCAGTTGCAATTCCTTCATGGTGTTTCTTAGTTAAAAATTGTTTAAGTAAAGCTAAATGTTTGTCCGCATAGAATTGTTTGATCTCATATATATCTTCAAACTAATTTTTTAATCTTTGATTGTAGGTCACGGTTGTTCAGATCTTACCTCCATGAGCTAGAGAATCAATTCAGGGGAAATTCTTTGGCAGCCAGGTTGGTTGATAGGTCTTCTCTTCTAGGTTGCTAATGAATATTAATCAAATATATTGGATAGTGTTGGCATTTGTTCAGTTGTTTATATTTTATTTGTGTGCAGGGGCTGCAGTTGCAAAGCTGATGGTGTGGAACATAGGGAATGTATATCTCTTTAAGTCTCTCATCACGTGTTTTTGCATCCACTTTCTACTTCGTATCTGTATTTACTGGAAAACTTAGTTGATGTGGAGTTGTTTATGTGAAAGAAAATTCTAGTATAGCTTCTACTCCAGGAGATGAGTCATTTTTTTCTTTTTTTTTTCTTTTTTTTTTCTTAAAGAAAAGACATTTAAAAAAAAAAATTATTTTCAAAGAAATCCAAAGATATTTGAGCGTGGTCGTACTTTTTGTCATGCAATATTGCTTTTTCATGGGGAGGTTGAAAGATACTCGAACTATTCTTAGATGTGTTTGTTGGATAAAGCCTCAAACTTGCAAACATGATGGCTATTGCTGATTATACTTCTAGGTGAGGTGGCTGAGAGAATGTGGTGCCTTTACATTCTTCATGCTGCATCAGGACGAGCGGCTGTTTCATGATTGTGCTAGTTACTTTTTTTAAAATGGGTGAGATATTCATTTGTATAATAGGTTCTTCTTCTTGACTATTATTATCTTTTACATGAGGTGTCGAGCTTTAAATTGTCGCCACATGCATGCATGTTCTGTTTGCAGTTTCTGTTGTTTCTCATTGGTCCCTATTTTTTGTTTTGCACATGTCAGTTAGTTATTAAGAGCGGACAGAGTAGAGAAAGGAAGCGAGATGTAAAGAGGTTCGGTTTTCTGCCTCTCATTGATCAATCGTACTTTTTATTTTAATTAGTTGTGTTTTTTTTTGGTTGTATGTGCAAATCCAATGTTTATTTATGATTGTGCTTCTCATTCTTGTAAGCATTGGTAGAGTAACGACTGGAAACAAAATTCAGATTGTTGCTTGTGTACGCAATGCCTGCTATTGTTCATGACTGCAAAATAAAACTCTTCACATATTGTAAAAGAGCCAGGGTTAAAAATTCTAATTTCACTATAAGTACTTATATTGTATGCTTACATGCAGTGTTTCAAACACTTTCCATATTCTATCTGAATTTTCCGATGCAATCCAGAAGTCGTCAAGGAATAACTGATATATCATATATGTGGAATATCAACTACATTACCAGGTAATTGTCACATACTTTAGTTTTATATGTGGTGAAAGGCTGTTGCTCTAATTGTTGAAATATCGCAAACAATAAACGTTTAAGGTTTAACACGTCATGAAGTGGGATAATGTTTTTGCTAGTTTGATGAATATTTACGTGCTGCTGACATATCGAGGGGTTTTCAGTGTGTTTAACTGTTGTGCCGTTTGTTTCCAATTTTTACCCCATGTTGGTTATCCCTTCTTTTTTCTTCTATTCTTTTGGGGTTTATGACTTATGTCTTGTGCTCCTGTCTGTGCTTATCTTTGGCTGATTCTACCCATTGTTCAGAGAGTTTGGGACAGAGAGTAGTAAACAGATTGTGATGAATCACTGGAAGAAAATTGTCTTTTGAATTGATTGACTTATATATAGGTACTAATGTGGTGGGAAATAATTCTCTACTGCAATAGTTGACAATATGGACCCTTCTTACAAAAGTTTTCAGCAGTTTTACATAATTGATGTTAAACACATGTTAATGATGATGTTTGGAAATTAGTGGGTGAAAATAATGTCATCATTAGAGTTGTTTTCTTATCGACTGTTTTCTTCTAATTTAATTGTGAAAAAAAAAAACCCTACCTAATCTCCTATAGTGGTTCAGCGAATATATCTCTCATTATTTTCTAAGCAATCATCTGAAATGGCATTTTTATTTTTAATGAGTCCTAGTATATATATATTTTTTTTTGGGTAGTCAGCCACGGTATTTAGAGCTTTGCTCTTACTAATTTGTTGGTCGACTCAGGTCGCACACATGGCAATGGTGGGTAAGTCTCCCAACAAGAGTTTTCTGCATTCACAAGGATTCGAACTTGAGACCTTGCCTAAGCGACATCAAACTGCTTACTACTTGAACCAACCCTTATTTGTGAGTCCTAGTATATTTGAATCATGCTAATGACCTAATCTTTGAATGAATAACACGTGTCACAATCTTATTACTTTACACAACACGTCACGTTTAAAATCAACTACCACTAAACATCCACCTCATTTTGCATAGTTTATATCAACACCTAATGTCAGTATATCTCATTTATCATAGTTTATATCAACACCTAATGTCAGCATATTTTTATTCAGTGTATCATATATATGATCATATAATTTTACTTTTGTACACTGAACAATTAACTTTTTCATTAATATTAAACAATAAAATTTATATATATGATAATATAAAATTATATAATTTTTCATAAAATGTGAATAAATTGTCGTACTCGTGTCTCCTACTGTTGATAGGTTGGAGGAGGTGCAATCCGTGATTTATGCAATGACAGGAACAATAAAATAAAATATAGCACACCATAATATATAGTTCAAAACTAATCAACAACAACAACAACAAAACCTTTTAGTCCCAAACAAGTTGGGGTAGGCTAGAGATGAAATCCAATAGAAACAGTAGTAAAAAAAAAAAAAAAGATTGGAGCAAAAGAGAAAGGAGCAAAAGTCACAGTTCCGACACGTTGATCACTAATCATTACCACTATTTTTAATTAATTAAAAATTATTCAAAATAATCACACCAAAACCACATTTATTTCAACGACAGGACGTGATAACAGTACCCCACATTCCCATATCACAGTTGGCAAACAATTCAAACCCCCAACAATCAATCCCTCTGCCATTTTCCTTAACATTCTTTAAGCACTTTTGTTCTCATCTCTTCTCTTTCACTCTCTCTGTAACATGGCAGGAAAAAACTTATTCTCATTGGCTCTGCTGATAATAATAAGCCTCTTAATTGGCTTAGGCTCAGCAGATTGGAACATTTTGAACCAGAGAAAAAAAGAGAACTTTGTTTGGCAGCAGCTTGAAGAATTACTGTGAGAGCTGGAGGTTCAATGTGGAGTTGAACAACATAAGAGGATTTGAGGTTGTACCTCAAGAATGTACAAGCTACATTGGGAAATACATGACCTCAACTCAGTACAAGGCTGATTGTCAACGGGCCATCGAAGAAAGTCAACTGTATTTGAGTAGCTGCTGCAGGTTGAAAGGAGATGGAAAAGATGCATGGATCTTTGATGTTGATGACACTCTAATTTCCACCGTGCCGTACTTCAAGAAACACGGGTTCGGGTACGTTTTGTTATGTTTGTACAACTAAAAAAAATTTTCGAATCGTAATTTCTTAAAGATAGTTCTTGAGTATTTTGATGCAATCACTTGGTGTTTCATATTGATTTTCTTGAATATTTTACATTGGAATACAAGAAAAAGAAAAAAGTGATTGTCAGCTTTGCTGTAAAAGAAGTACAGCATTCAAAATGCTGACTAAGTTATGAATAGTTTGATAATAATTTGAAGGCATTGGGGAGTGTTGTAACTAGGGCTGCAAACGAACCAAGTGGCTCGCAAGCGGCTCGCAAGTGCTCGAGTCGAGCTCGAGCCCATATTTTGCATTGTCGAGCGGCTCGAGATATATGTTGAATTACTAATATACCCCTTATACATATTAGAATAGTATAGTATAGGTGCTTAATGATAAATTTTATTTTCTCACTTAAAATTTTTTTAGCCGAGCTCGAGCATTTTGATTTCGAGTCGAGCTCGAGCCGAACTCAAGTGATTGTACTTTTTTATCGAGTCGAGCTCGAGCCTCATAAATCGAGCTCGAGCAGCGACAAAAAAAAAAATCAACATTGCTCGATAAGGCCAATGCTCGACTCGGCTCGGCTCGTTTGCTAGCCGAATTTGTAACCTGTAAGATGGTCAGATTTTGTTCATGGTTGATGCCTGAAACTATCCATTAACCACTTAGGTTTCAGAATTACAAGATTCTCCTTCAACATTTGTGCTCTCTTTTACCGGTTGCCCTTCAAAGAATTGTTTTTAAACATTTAAGAGGCAAACCATCAGGGATAGTTCTTGTAGTTTTCCCTTTTGGGAGCTATAAAGAAGAAAAAAAAAAACACTTCAACTTTTTCTTCAATCACTTCCACTGATTTGTTCAATTTCTCGCTTCTACTAGCCGATGTGTTTCGACTGTTGAAGTTGAAACATCATTTCTTTTGAAAGAAAGGCAGAAATTTAAATGTTGTTTATTGGAGCTGAAATTGTGTGCAGGGGAAATAAGCTCAATCTTACATCTATAGAAGGATGGATGAAAAGTAGCAAAGCACCAGCACTCGACCATACACTACGCCATTTCCACGAAATAAAAGAAAAGGGGTTTAAGATCTTTTTGATCTCGACTCGAAGGGAGTCTTTGCGAGATGCCACTGTCGATAACCTTATCAAGGAGGGGTATCATGGATGGTCCGGTCTTGTACTTAGGTAAGCTTGCGTATAATTTTGCTTATAGCTTTCAGATATAAATTAATCAGATGGGATACTAACATCTTGAAGATCAAAATTGTATTCTTCTTTTTCCTTTTAATAATGTGTTACTACACCATGTACATTATACAGAGCGAATCCGTTTTAGATTTCCTAATTTTGTCTGTTTCGACTTCTACTCACAAAAATGAAGCACGCGTAACTTATTCACCATAAAAATCTCTTCTTAGCTTCTCCACTCATAACTTCTTATTGTCAGCAAGTTCTCCTTCTCGGTTCCAATAAAATAGTTTCCCATAAGAAGCAGAAAGTTGCTAGCACTTGCTTAGTCAGCATACGCATGAACGTTTTTTTTCTTTTTCTTGATTCGATTCATTTGCATGTACATTTACTTGGTTTAGGGGTCTTGAGGATGAAATCAAACAAGTACAGAACTACAAAGCTGAAGCAAGAAAGAGATTGGTTAAGGAAGGGTATCGTATTTGGGGCATCATCGGTGATCAATGGAGCAGTTTTGACGGGTCCCCGAGTGCTAAAAGAACATTCAAGCTCCCAAATTCCTTGTACTACGTATCGTGAATGCTCGGTTTTTGTAATAATGGGAGCTTATCGACATAATACACTTTTTTTTTACGTGCCTAAATGCATTTGAAGTCGTGTGCCTTTGTCGTTTTGGACAAATTTGGAACTTTTGTTGGAAGAACTTGACATATATGTTCTTCATGAGAAAACTAAAGAAGCTGGAGGGGTTCAATGCAGTCAATCTCGATTTGTCCATTTGAGATAATCGACCATTTTAATTGTTTTGTTTTTAGCTTATGAATAATGTGTAAGTTTAGTCTGGATTATAAATTGAATGGAGCTTTGTAAGATATTTCAAATTTTAATTATTATAATAATTATATTTCAGAATTTTGTGAGTATATTTTTCTACAAATGCATAAGATATGTTAGTTCTCATTTGATACAACTTTGCTGTCAGTTTAAAGGTAAGTTTGATTCTAACCAGTGACCAGTCTCCACAAAAGTTTTATTTGTCACTCTCACATGTATTTACATACGCTTATGTGGATGTGTGTTGATCCAACGGTTAAAATAAATTATGTGGATGTGTGTTGATCCAACGGTTAAAATTGAATGCAATGAAATTGACCCAAAATCTAGTACTAAACAAATGGAGTATTGTTTAGGGACTTTAGGACCTAATGGGCCCTCCAACAATTATGGCTTGAGAGTTGCCCTTAAGCCTACTGAAAGATCAAATATTAATTTTTAATCGTGTGAAAATATTTTAAGGGTGTGTTTGGATACAAATATATTCGCTATAAACAGTTTTTTTGGTTAACTACGATTAATTTTGAAAAAAATTGTATAATTATTTGTTTATATTAGTATAATATTATATAATATTAATAAAGTTGATCCGATAAAAAATATGAGAGACATGATGTAAAGTGATGATTAGCTAAAATTATGTAAATAAATGAATGATAAATTAAAGTTGATTTGATGTATTACATGTGTAGAATTATTGATTCATATTATTTAATTATATTAATAATATTAAAAATACTAAAGTTATGTAAAAATTAAATTAAACCCTTAACATAAATTATTTTTTATTTATAAACAAACACACCCTAATTCACCCTAAGTCAATCGAATTTGATGTAATGTGGATTGAAGACTTCACACTGTCAATATTAAATAAATTGTTAAATCATTTTTTTATACAATCAAATCTAGGAATCTTAAATAACATAAAGTATTATAAGAATATTACACTACAGCAGCTGCTATTATGACGTCAACAATGGTGATTTGAGTAAGAGTTTATATCTAATAACTGCTTGTACTGTATGTTTAACGAGGAAAATATCATTACAAATCTAACTTAAATATTTATTAGGTACATGTCAAAATTTGTATTTATTTTTAAGGAGATTCTACGGTCAATCATTCCGTCGGGTATTACAACCGTTATATCAACTATTTTCGATGGTTATATGATGATTTAATAATTACAAATTCCAACGAAATAGTTCCATAACGAGACTGTAACGTTTCCCTTATTTTTAATTACGAATGCAAAAAAGAAAAGTACCATTCCACTGAGAATTTGGAAAAAGAAAAAGTCTGTGTATGGAATCATATATAAGTCCGTCGTAATAATATTGTTGGACTAAAGCATTAATATAAAAACATTATCAAATTCAAAAGTCAATAGTTTTACTATAAATCATAATCTCTTTACGATATATTGTACCTTATTCACTGAATGAACACTTAATTCGACAATATAATTAAAGAAAAACTTTAGTCTTCAAAATTCTAAAAATTCTATGTTTAATTTATTTGACTGATGTTAGCTAGGTTTAATTGATATTAACAACTACACATAATTTTTATATAAATATTACAATATAAATTAGAGTACGGCATATATAAAATATACAGTTTTATTAAAAATATGAAGACTTAATTAGATTACTCACAACTATTATTTCTACAATTAACCATTATCTCTTTATAAAATATTGTATCTTATGACTGAACATTTAATTCAATCTCATTCATTTGATTTACTAATTTATTAAAGAAAAATATCATTTTTAGAGTCAACCGAAAACCGTACGCATTTATGAGATTTAATTAATTTTTTTTAACAATATGTATAATTTTATATGAATGTTTTTATAAAAAAATATGATAATTTATAAAATATGCATTTTTTTAATTATCACGGCTTCACTAATCTAGTTATACAATCCCCTTCTCATTTATATATAATTATTAAATGTACTGAGCCTAAGTGACAGACTCACATGATTCTGAATCCTATGTGTCAAAATTTAATGCTATATAATTACCAAATGTGCTGAGCCTAAGTGACAGAATCACATGATCCTGGATCCTATGTGTCAAAATCTAATGCTTAATTGTTGGGATTAACTATAAATATGTTGATAATGTATGGTCATTATTTTTCATTATATGATATAAGTTTATAAAAATTATTATAATATAACACATGTAAATCGCACAAGTAAAAACCAATAAATGTCGTTTTAAAATATATAATAAATATATATTTTTTGTAAAAAATATTTAACTTTTACAACTTTTATCTCATTAATTTTAAATTTAAAAATATTTTTTTCTAAAAAGTAAATATATAATCTTTAAAAATTTAAGGGAAGAACCAAAGACTAAGAGCATGTTTGTTTATGAAAATTTTTGGGTTTGTTTGGATTTTTTGGTTTGGTTTAGTTAACTTTAAAAAAGTAGTATGGTTAGTTGTTAGTGTGTATATTAAAATAATATTTAAAATAAAATAATTAAAATTGGTTTGATATAAAAGTAGGAAAGAGAAGATATGATGTGATAGTTAAAATAATGTGAGTGGATGAATAGTGAATTAAGGTTTATGTGGTGTGTATAAATGATTGATTGATATTATTAATTATATTAATAATATTGATGATAGTGATGTTGAGTTAAAATTGAGTTAAAAAAAGTTGTTGAGTTAAAATGTGAGAAATTTTTTGAAAAATCTTATAAACAAACATGCTCTAAGAGATTACGACACACGCCACAGATGAGGCGCGTGTGCAAAGATACATCTCCACGAGCATAAAATCTATCTATACTTATATTAAAGGGAAACCTATTTACTAAATATAGTAGGTAAAAAAGTCAACTTTAATTAATGAACTTCTAATTTTATCAATTAGTAATTAATGCATTTATAATTTTAATCAAATTTCCTATTTTACATATTGTTTTTAATCTTTCTTATCTTGACATAAAAAATCCCATAAAATGGGGTGAGCAAAAACAATCAAAATCCTGTTTCTAAAAACTACAAATCAATATTACGATTTTGAATAATACACTAACAAATTATAATATATTTTTATAAAACTTATAAAAACCTATTAAAAAAACTTGGTTCATATATTTATATGGATATTTATATTTTTTTAATATTATCTTTGTGTTAAAAAAAAACTATTTACCACTAATCTTTTTTATTATATAATAAAATAATAATTAAATATTATATGATGAACAAGAATAAATAAAACTGTTACTTTTTCTTATATTAAGAGATAAATTTATATACTGAAATTAAAGTTTTATTAGTATAAATATTTTAGTGAGATAATATATTAATTATTTTACAAGCTAGCCCTAACATACTCATATTTAATGTTCTGACTAAAAAACAATGCTGGTTAAAAGATATGAAAAAAGCTTATAATATTATTGTTTTTTAGACTTAACGTTGATTAAAAGAGGTAGAAAATAGATAATAACACTATTACTTTTAAGATTTAAACGGACAAGGCTATTAAAATAACTCATTTAATATCTATGTTCTGTGCATCGCACGGAGTACGTACTAGTTATTGGAAGAAGCCAAATTCTAATACAAGACATCACAAAAGGCCCACTCGACGCCGTGTGATTCCTTACGGCCACCCGCCGGTGACGGAAACCTCCAGCAAACAGTCGCGCGACCGCCATTCCGACCTACACGTAATTCTCCTATAGCACAGGTACCGTATGCTTTTATGCGCAGCTATGGGTGAGCGTGGGTCGGTACGGTTCGGAGATTGATAAATCTCCAGAACCGTACCAAAGTTCGGAGATCCCAAAATTTTATCTCCGGAATCGTACCAAAAAGTCGGTTCGGTTCGGTTCGAAGATTTTTATTTTTCGGTTCGGTTTGATTCGGTATTCGGGACTATTGGGACGGTACGATTCGGTATGGTTTGGTTCGAATCTTCGGAGATCTCTTATTTTTTTAGAATTTTTTTTAATGACTACCTAGTTATATTTTAATTTCTATATGCTTTAAAAAAAACAACATTCATCAATAATTCATCATATTAAAGATTTTATTTTTGAAATCAATTTTAGAAGTAATTCTAAAGTTTGGTTATTTAATTTTTATATGCTTTAATAAAACCAACATTCATCAAAACTTCCCCATATTAAAAATTTTATTTTGAAATCAACTTTAGAAGTAACTCTAAATTTTAGTTAAAACTAAATTTGTGCAACTAATATTGAAAATTTAAAATTCAAACAAAATATAATATTTTTTTCTAAAAAGATATTCTTTAACCTTTCATATTATTTTAAATAATTATTTTATAATAGAAAAAATTCAATTGTAGATGAAGTATCACTAAGTATGAAAGTTAAGTGAAGGTTAATAGTTATTATTACCATATTATAAAGGATCAAATGTGACATAAAATATATTAATAACACATCTAATGTTATAATTCGGTTCTTAATTTCGGTTCTTCGGTTCGATACGGTATGGGACGGTTCGGTTCGGATCTCGGTACGGATATTTTTGAAATCTCCAGAACCGTACCAATTATTTTTTCGGTTCGGTTCGGTTCGGAGAAAGTCAAACGGTCAACGGTTATTTTTCGGTTCGGAGTGATTTCGGTTCGGTTTTCGGAACAGTTCGGAAATTTCCAGAGTCCCATGCTCAGCCCTATGCGCAGCCATCACGAGATTGTAGATGAGATTTTCTTTTTTTTTTTTTTTCATTTGTA